GAGGACTCTCGGTTTCTATTCGCGGCAGAATGATGGTAAAACCGAGCTGAACGGAGTTTAGCCCTCTGATGCTGGGTCATTCAAGACCCAGCCTGAAATTGGTTAAAATAACAAGGATTTGAGTTCAGAAAATTTTCACTCACTATGATACCTACTTGAATGAACCAATCAATGTTAAACAATGAAACTCTGTATTGTATTATTGAAAGAAAAGAAAAAAAGTTTCTTCTACCTTCAAGCCAATAACTGTTATATAAACACATCGAAACTTAAGGAAAACATTGTTCTGTATCGAATTGATCAATTCCAATATCAACAAAGGTTCACAATTACGCAAGGAACGGATAATAGATATGCGAAATGCCGGAAACATAATCTGCTAACTGAAAGGTAAATAGTTGTTGGAAACGATAATAATAAATTATCGATAAGTAAGGGAGAGTTACCTTTAAGCTCGCTTGAACCATGAAAATAAAGATAATACTGTGTCTGGGAACACCCACACGCACCCACGCGAACCATTTGCACAAGATACGGGTAATTTCTGGTAGCTACAGTTTCTTTGTTGCTTGTTGAAGAAAACTAGTAACGAAACAAGCGTATAATTACAGCAGAGAATTATGTCAAAATAATTGAACTGGGGAGAGAGGAAGAATACTATAAATCCAAAAACCACACTGGGTTGTTTTAAATTTTCCAATTAATTGAGACAAAAATAATTTGTGTCTTGTTTTGATATTCACGTAAAAATTCGAAATGGTAGTCGCTATAGAAACAAGGTGAATTACACGATCTCTTTAACCGGAGTGAAAATGAAGGGGGAGAAAAAAGTTTGAAAAAGGCTTCTATCAATTTGCTTTCACTGGCTCTCCGAGTGTTCACCGTGTATATACGAGGTGATGATGGGGTGACGATTCGAAGGGAACTCGAGATGTTCGAGCAGAGGTTCGCAGAGCTACTAGAAAGAGCACCGTGCCAGAAAAAAACTCTTCAACCAGACGACGTAGCCTACGATACGACTTTCAGAAATTATTTCAAAGTACCCTCTCTGACATTTCACCGAGTTCGTTAAAACAGCCGCTTTGGTTATAGTCAAAGAATCATTATACGCGCGAACAAATCGGAGAGCCAATTAGAAATTCCAGAATCGTGCAAATCGTTTCTCTGAAAGTCTTGTTACGCTCTTATCCTTTATGCATCCTCAATTTATGATGCCTTGAAAATTTTGCAGATCTTCTTTGATACAAAGAAGAAGAAGATACTATTCTCGTTGAATGTATGAAAAAAAAATGTCATTCCACTGAAAAAACAAGTAAAATAGGCTTTCTTTAAATTGACCTAAAATATACTTTTGCTCGCCAATGTCCTGACTTCTGAATTTAATTTTCAGTAAAAATTAAATTAAAAGTTCCATTTTTTACCCTAATCAATGATGGAGTAATCTTCATATTTTCACCAGAAACAGGCTATGCAACAAAATGTTCAGTGAAACGAACATACGAGGGATACGAGTACGCGTTTTGTCACGGATGAATAAAAAAATACTGGAAAGCGTTGATCAGCCTTACCAAAGAAGGAAACGGTTGGTTCTCACATTTCGATCCGCCTACAAGGATCACGGAGCTCTCACCGTGAGATTGTACGAGAATTCTCGAACGTTTAAATCCTTCTAATCCCGCCAGACGATGATCTTTCCCTTCGAGAGAAAGAGAGGTCAACACTTTTATTTCTCCCCCATCACTGAATGCATTTTTCGTGAAATTAGCGATCAGTATAGTTGATTTACAACAAACGATCGCTCGCGCTCAACGCTTTTACAACTGATATTTTTTATTTTTCTATATAAATTACACTTCGAAAGCTTGAAAATTTGTATTCATTAACCCTCTTGATCTAAATAATTTTCTTTTTTCATTGAAAATATAATTCGAAAATTGATTGATAATTGAATGGCTGCGTTGATCAATCACCGCCCACGTGGGTTAAAGCAGCTGTTACTGTGTTGCACGGGTATCCGCGGTGGTTGGAATATTTATCCATCGAGACGGCTTTACGCCCATGGTTTTTTATTTGTCCAGGTAACGCGATTTCTCGTACCATCCAACGGTGGCTTTGCAAACAAGTAGGCAGGTTTAAACGTCATTCCGAACCTACGCGTTTTCCAACAGTCCACGCAAAACCGAAAGGAAGTAGCACCATGAGAGAACCATGAAACGCAGACACGCAACAACACTGTACCAGCTCGTATATTGAATACGTGATCACCCTATTAATTAGTTGTGCAACGAGTCGACAACACCCGGAGCATTGAAAGTCCGACGGAGCATGGCGAAAATTACACTGTTGCGATTTATGGGGACGACGTTAACATGAAAGATCCTTGTTTCACTTCTCTCGGACGTGGATTTTATTATTATTTTTTTTTCTTTTTTTCATTGGAACTCGGTCGATTTTCAATTTGCAGCCAGGAAGAGAAAGAAAAAGAGAAGAAGAACAAGTTGGAGAGATATGAGAATATCAAGATTTATTTCTTCGACATATTAATCTGCTCCATATATCAAAGATGGCAATCTTTTATTTACATGAATAATATTTCAATATTTATGCATCCAAACTCAAATATTTATTTCTATAATATGCAAATATCTACCTATACAACATCCTACTATCTACTCCTGCAAAACAATAAATCTGATTGTACAACCGTATGATAACAAATGCCATCGCGACGAGAAATGAAGATTATAATCCTAATTAATTACGCGTAATCTCGTGGCCTATATAACGCGTATACTACCGAGAATCTCGTAACTTACGTAAATGGTGGTGACGGTAGCGTTTCTAACCATGTCTCTGACGTCGTCTATTTCTCGTCTGGATGTTCCAGGCGCCGCAGTCGGCGCCAGCATTACTTCGCTTGCCATTTTAAACCCGACTGTCATTCACGAAAAAAAATCGCCAAAAATAGCACTGTACACGATACGAGTTCGACACTTATCAAAAACCATCGAAAACACAGTAATCCTTTGCTACACTTTGAACAATGTATCTTCTGAAAAGGCACTTAATTTATCACGTTGAAGATGCTGTTCTGTCCAACACTATCGTTTATCTCGTTGGAGAAATTTCGAGGTGAAGAAATTGTAATATTTATTACATCGTGACCAGGAAATTCCGAAGCGACGTCGACTAGTGTTCAAATAGCGAACAACTGCATTTGATGGAAAGAAAAATGATGGAGCAAGGGAAGCTTTTACTCGGTATTATAATTTCCATTGTAACGAATGCGAATGCATTCTTGTGGACTTGATATAATCACCAAGTGAATCAAATTTCACGTGGCAAGAAGCCAGAGCACCGATTCGAACGCAGTCGTAGCTGAAAATTCTGTGACATCGAAAGAGGCATTCTTCGGGTCACGAATTGTCACGTTACTTTATGCATTCACTTTTCATCTTTTCAATAATCATCCATGGCACATAGGGTGAATTTAAAAAAAATTATTTAGAAATAATCAGTATCCTTTTTCCAAAGGCTGAAGGATCACAGAGAAATGAGATAAACATAGTTCCTTGACAAACTAATGGTTCTTCCTTCACCAAAACAACACACGTTCCTGAAATGTTGCTCGCTGTTCTACGGTAAAAGCACCGAATCACCGTTTCCCTGGCGTTTGTCGGCGATCCAGAAAAGTGCACATCTTTGGCAAAAGTCGCCGTTTAAATGTCCACGGGGAAATCAATCGTCAGACGGTGTTAATCAACGTGTGCAGACGGATAGAGAACGGAACTGACCGCGAATGCCAGAAGTGTTCCGAGTTTGGAACGAGACTAGAAGCGAAACGTGGCTTCATTCTCTCTTGAGAGAGAGAGGAGAGAGCCGTGGAGAGACGACGGTCTCGTGGTGGCTGCATGAGTCAGCTGGTACTCTACACGTGCACTCGCACAAAGTCGGATCGTTAGGAGAGGATGTTGAAACGGAGGGGGAACTCGAATCATTGTGATTCATGTAAGTAAGTCATGGTGTGCAGTGTGATGTAGTAGAAATACAGGAGTCGCGATCGATGATGGAAGTTTGAGATACTGACTTTGCAATTCTGCGAATAGGGTAGACCGGTGTTGGAAATAATCAAGCTGATATTAAAAAATCATAGACACTTGTGAAAATGTTGGTTATAGAATGAAAAATAACAATTAGAACTCTATAACATAAACTTAATACTTTAAAACCTAGGCTATGTCTATGCTATGGAGAAAGCTAAGTTTAAAATAAATTTAATAAACAAAGATGTTGTCAGGATAGGTTTTAGTAGAGGTAAAAACCTATCCTAACAACACCTTTGTTTATTGAATTTATTTCAAACTTACCAGGGAACTTGCATTTCATAAAATGTCTTCAACTTCAGTCTTTGATTCAAACTATTTTGAATTCCACCACGAAACATGACTAAACAAAAATCAAGTTTCCTTTCGTGCAAATACTTTATAACAGCTGCGTATATAATAAATACGTCAGGAAATGGAAGATCGTCCTGAATCGAGACCATAATCAACGTTTGAAGGTATCATTTCAAGGAAAGTAATGACGTTAATGTTTCGCGCGGGAACCAAGGATTCATGATTCTAATTCGTTGTATGTTAAGAATGAAGGGAAGTTCTTTATACCCGTAGTACCCTGTATTTAAATATAAAATGCATTTATAGTGTGGGAGAATATTTTTTAAACATACAATTACGCAAAACGCATCCATTTCTCAAAAACCAATTATATTTAATATTAATATTTATTTGATAAGTAAATTCGCGACCTTCGCTCTATTTTCCTTTAGAATTATTTCTTTTTGCAAAAAAAAATCAGCAAGATTTGAAACGAAATACACGATAAAATGAAACTGTAATTTAATATTCGAACCAAATGATGTTAAAGTTAAAATTATAAATTACAGTTGATTTTAATGCATGCATTGCATCAAATGATGCAGCAAACGCAATAATTAACAAGATATGCGATAATAAAATCTACAGCTGGAAATCAGGTATTAAAATTTCATTCGATCCGTATCACACGGCGGATACGGATTTCGTATCGAATGAAGGCTCAAACCACTCGAATATATCGTGGTCATTAAAGTTTAACGCGTTGAATCTTCGTAGCTTTCCCAACTTGGAAATTTAATAAACGAATAAGGCAACTGCCGATATCTCTTAACCGCTGTTTTCACTGATGGTGAGATTTTTCTTTCATGATAGTGTTTAGAAACGTATCTATCAATCATTCTACCGACTGCCGGTTTCCTATTAAATTTGCTATTGAGAGATCCATAATTATTAAATGGAATCTTAAATTCTAAAATTTGCAAAAATAGCAAGGATAAATTTCTGCAATTTAAATCGCAGCATCCTGTAATGCATAGAGTAAACTGGACGTAAACATCTCAGGTATACATCACGAACGTTTCGATTACCCTATAAGGTATCGCCAAGGTGTGCCGCAGCGATTTTCCTCTTGGAAAGATGGTTTTCTTGACTGACCATGGAGACAATGTTAACTCATTCAACACCGAGATCTAATTAGAAGACAGAATCTCCAGTAAGCAGAATTCTGTTCTAATTATATCATATGTGAATAGTTTAAAAAAAAGAGGGAACACAAAAATAATTTTTTGGTTGCTTTCGTTTTCCTTGTATTAATTTAACTCGAAGACCCTGAAAAATCACGGAAAATACACCAACTGGTATTTGGATAAATTATGAAGAAATTATGAAGAAACGAACCATCTGTTTTGAGTATGCTTTGATAGTTCCTGTGTTAATTTAACGCAAGCGTCCCGGAAAAGCTTCAGTCTAAGCAATCTACCGTAGAGTGTACACTCTCGATCAAATTAGGCTACCCCAGGAAAAATAACCTTCTCCATGAGCATCCTCGGGGAAAATGACAATGCAGGGAAGAAGCCTCACATATATAGGAATCTGTGCGTCCCCACCACTTGCGTATAAACGTTTACGCGGGAAAATTAGAATTACCATTTACTTAATTATTCCTACTTCTCAGTTACATACCAGATTTTATATTTAATTTCATTTTGTTTCTAAATTACTTTTATTATTAACACGTTGAATGTCATTGAGGTTTAATTTACCAGTGAATTAAAAAAAAAAAACATTTTAAATAATATTGGTATTGTATAAATAATGTAAACTAACAAATAGAAAGCTTGAAATTTAATTATTTCTATTCTTAATAATTAGAGCTTTAATACGTCCCACAATAAATTCTTATTTTCACTGTGGCAATCAACGTGTTAATATCGTCAAAATAAAGAATTCCTGCTTCCCTATATCACTATTTTTCCTGTGAAAGCCTGATTTGATCGCGAGTGTACTGGTCGTGACCAAACACGATCGATCTATCAAGATCATTGGAGCAAGCACGGTTTTATTTAGATCCAAAGTCCACTGACACGGACAATTTACAATTAGAAGAGAAAAATAACATAAGAACTTAAAGATTCATAAATTTAATTTTGTTACAGATATTCTGTTATTATTTTCGTCACAAAGGAGACAAAGTATTCAGAAAGTAAATTCTTCGACGAAATCATTCGACCATATGAAAGGATGCTCAACGAAACGAAACTGGAAACGATTTTCTGAATCGATCTTCAAAATCAGTTTAACTTAAAGAACTAGCTATCAGAGAAAAATTATTTCAAACGTTCAGAAGTTTTTAATAGACCGAACTTGAACTGAACTTTTTCCTCGTTAAATTGATTTTCTAAAGGTAATTTATAGATTCTTTGAAAATGAAATTTTTCAAATTGTTTGAAGTGAAAATTTAATACTGAAATTAAACTCATTACAAAGTTAGTAATTAAGAAAATTTCAGTATTTCTTTTTTGAATGTAAATAAAGTATGAAAAATTATTATGAAAGTAATATTATTTGTAGGGTATGTCGCACCCCACGTCGCCGAGTTAACTTTTGTAAGATTTAAATTAAATTTCAATGGAAGCTATAGTAGCTTCTACGCTTTACAATATTTTCTTCAAGGTAACCCAGAGTTAAACGACACACCTTGAATTAGGTACTTAGTTTCCGCAACATTAATCGGCGGAAACAATTGAGACAAAGATCCTTTCAGATCCCTTGATAACCTACTATACAACATTATACAGTGTGTTCCATAAAAACCGTTCAGGACTTATAAAAATACATAGAGCTGAGAAATATTATCATCTAGGATTATTTCAACAATAAATTACTCTATTTCTATGAAGTTTTTTTTTCATATCAAAAAAATATCTCGTTGTCAGATTAATTTATATTCACGAATTTTATAAAACACGTGCCCTGTGAACATCGCTTTCGTTCGCTAATTTCTCTTTCGCTCGAAGAAAAGCGTACGCGTGTCAAAGCAAACTTAATCAACACTACATTTTCTACGCATTCCCCCAGGCTTTTCACCTGGAATAATTAAAATGAACAACACAGGCAAATGAACAATTTTCACAGATGAATTTCAATAATCACAGCTGTGCATGAAGAAAATAATTACAGCTATTAATCAATATAAATAACAAATTACTATTACGTCATATTTACATAAAACTGATATGACAATTAAAATTGTACAAAGAAATAAAAATACCATAGAATTTATTATATTTGTTAAACTAAAACGTTATTGATGAAATTTTCTTACAAAAGCGTTTAATGAGGAACCGATTTCTCAATTTATATGGTGCCAAGACATTTCTGTAGAATAAACCGGTGTTAAAAGCCTATTTTTTGCCACGATCCAGGCAAACGAAGAAAGAATGATACCACTTGGCAAATGTTTGTCCTCGCCGTCACTTTCTTACAGCAGTTGGTCAGATTTATCAACACCTTTCTCGAAAGAACCGAAAGAACATGGCTCTTCGTTTGGGCACATGCCAAACTTGACCACCGATAAGGAGGTCGCTATGATGCCTACATATTGATTGTTTATTGCTACGGGTTTTGCGGTAGTTGCCGTGTGCCAAGATTAACGGTGCGAATGAAACCACGAATCAAACTGAACAATGGAGAGAAATTGAACTTACTGAATGGACAGAATGAAAAATATCATTGATTATGATAGAAACGAACACTTCGAAATATTCACACTTTATCAATTGGAAATCTAATAACTGGTGATGAGATCTAAGTGCCAAGTAGATTTTGTTTTGTTAAGGGAAAATTTAGGGAGAAGCTAAGGAGCACTTAGGAAGAGCCTAAAGAGGACCTAAGAAAGACTTAAGGAGGACCTAGGGAAAACCCGAGGAGAGCCTAGAGAAAACCTAAGAAAAACCCTCGAAGAGTCTATAGAGGACCTAACGAGAATCTAAGGAGGACCTAAAGAGAACCTAGAGAATACCCCTAGAAAGCCTAAGGAAAGCCTAATATAGAACATAAAATCTAGGAAGAGCCTAGACGGAACCTAAGGAAAACTGAAAGAATCCAAGGAGAGCTTAAGAAAAATCTAGCACAAAACCACTTTTATAAAATTCAATTCTATCGCACACCAAAATACTTATAAATACAACCCCTACACCGGTTATTCTAGTGCCAGTAATATTTCGCAAACCTACCACCCCTAAAGTTAACAGAGTACAGTCTAAAAATATTATAGAGAAGTAATAACTCCCTTCTTCAAAATATCTACCGTAAATGACACTTCTGCATTTCTTTCTTTGCCCATTCCCAATCACCAAAAAGCTAATCGATTGCCGTGTATCAGGTTTCTGACTACCCATTTAATACTACAGAACCTTAAAACGAGAAAATCAAGTTTCCAAGAAAAAGATGTTTTCGAAGAGAGGTTCCAAGGATGAATTCCCCGTGGAAGCCGATTCGAAGTCAGCGAAAGTGGTGTAATTAAGCGGATAATTACGAGAGTGCGTGGCACGTTTCTCGGAGATCCTGAACGTTGTGCCAAAAAAGAGTGAACCGTGAAGGCAGTTCTGAGCAGAGGTAAAGTCCTCGTTTAACCGTGCAACAAATAACCTTGCGTACAGGAAACGAACGCCATATTCGTCATAGCGTCACTGCTCGGGAATAGCTTTGCCGCTGCTACGTGCACCTTTCCAACCTGAACAACCATGTACAGAGAGATTCTTTTCACCGCCAGGTAAACACGCCAGAAACTTGTGAATTTACGTGGCAGAAGATAGATGTTCTAAAGAAAATTGGTGATAAAGTAGCTGAAATGAGTAGAGCGCAGGTTTTACAAATTACACGGAAAGGATAGTGATAAAATAATTCATAGCAAGATTTATGCTCGGTTTAAGATCGTCGGAATGCAAATCTTTGAAATAAAACTAGTAGCAAGATAACCTGTAACGGGATCAATGATTTATATGCTTCAGAATCAATACAGTAACCGATAATGAAATGTATGACTGGTGAAATTTAACTGTATCGTTTATTTATCGATTCGTAATACCTGTTCTAAGAAAAAATATCAATTCTAAGAATCATTCAGTCTCCATGTAAAAATTTTATAATAATATTATTGATAAAAATTATTATTTGGAAATGAAAAATTCCTCAATCTGCAAATCGAATGCCCGAGTTGTGTATTAAACCGATCAGAAGAATTCTTAGTGGTAGAAAGTTGCATGGTCAACTCACGCAACCATTTCTACATGTAAATTCAGAGTTCATTAATTACAGGTAATTGGAATATGGTACACGAATGCAGCTTTGAATATATAGATATATTCTATAGATATATCTTTTCATTGATCGAACACGATGCTCTTTTATCAAGCTAAATTATTTGATTCCTAACGACACCAACTTGTAATAAGATCGTTTGGAATGTTAGGATGAGTTTAAGTAATTAACACTTCTAATTACGCCACGGTATAAGCAAATGCATCTGTAAACGCAAAACGAATTTATAAGAAGATTTGCAATACTATCAAGTGTAGTACTTATTATAATGAGATTTTTAAATATAATTCCAACTGTAATTAAAACAGAAATTAGTACAGAAATGGTAGCCTTAGCTTTTATTACAGTAAATTAATATTTGTGAAATTTTCAATAAAAAAGAAAACACTAAATTGTAATTAAAACAAATTAAATTTTTTAATTGAAAATACAAGGTGGTTTACGCAACTGATAAAAGATTAAGAAAATGCAATTAGGCAAAATTAAATAAAAATGAAATCGAATGAAGCATCGCGTGATGCATGTGTCCGGAAGTGCAAGCGTTGTAAAGGTCAATTTCAAGGTCAATTTTGATTTTCTAGTTTAAATTGTATATTTTTCTAAACGTTATTGAATGCATCTTGTTATTCTCTATAAAAAATTACTAATGCCCTCGGGTCGAAAATTGATTAGCTTAAAAGATATCTTGAAGTTCTCCATGTCTCTCCCTAAAATATCTTTTGAAGTAATCAATTTTTGACCAAAGTACCTTAATATCTTTTTGTTAATTCAATTGATATATAATCCGAATAAAATTTTTTTCAAATAAAATTAATACATACTAATTATTGTTTCATTAGCATTATTCTTTTATAAGATAGAAACATATTAAATAATAATGTAAGTACCTATGTATAAATGGTACTTCATCATTACATTGTATGTGAATACACGAAGGAAATAAAGATGAAATTAAATAAATTCTGGAATTTAACTGCGCACACACTATAATATACCTAAATGACATGCTTAAAAATATATATGAAAATACAGTAAATATGAAATTACATACCTTATTTCTTCAAACTATAATTCATATTTAACAAAACAAAAAAGAATATCCCTGATAATAAAAACTTAAATGATTATTTATAAGAAAATACTCAGGGAAATATAAAGCAAACAGCATGAAATATGTTCAAGCATAAAATATTCTTGTTCTTCAATGGTTCTGAATCTGATACTGCTGAATATTAACGCAACTTTTATTGTACTACAAGATATGATACCAATACATTGGAAAAAAAAATACATATAACAAAGTACTCTGTTCAATAGAAACTAACTTAAAATGAATTCCATCCAACGTACCCTAACAAATCGTACAAGGGTTTATATTATTAGCTCTTTAATTCCAGATATATTAGTTATACTTCTCATATAAAATACAAGTCTATCCTTATCGTACTGCATTACTGCTCTACGCAATCAGTATGCACTTCTTCTTTCTCAACAATTTCAAACGAATTGTTTTTATGAAACTTCTAATGCACAAAATAGTGATATTTAGAAGTAATGATTGCTGCAGAAAAGGTGAGAAAGAAGAAGAAGCAGAGAAGAAAAAACCAAAGTGGTAAATATTCTTACCTGACGGGAATCGTAAGCGTCAGAGAAGTGTTCAGATTCGGTTCCGCCGTGCTGTTGCTCGCCGGCAGGACCCTTACGTCGATCGTCACCCGCGTTACGATCCATTGCGTCAAAAACATGGACGACCGTATCGGGTACGTCGTCACACGTCCAATCCTCCGTCCTCGGGGCAGGTTCCTCTGTTTTGCCCTTGACGAAGAGACGCGAAATCGCACTCCACATTCAACGAAATCACAGCATCAGCAACGGCTGCAGCGACAATCCATGCAAACAAGTCCTTGTTCTCGTCATAGCCGGCGAAACGATGCTTTGAAAGAATCCTCCTGTTCTTCATACATTCACGTTTTTCTTTGATTGAAGTATCATCGGGAACGCGTGTAAACTTATTTTAAATAATGCGAATGGCAGAAATGAAAAACGCAAAGGTTAGGTGCACGAAGATCGCTGAATTTTGTTCCAAGTAAGGTTAGAGTGTGCGTTCCGACAACCGTGCTTCGCCAAACTGAATTATTTACGTTGGTACGACATTGCGTCTGCTGTTTAGATCGCTCGACACATTGACGTGCGTGTAAATCGTTGATTCAAAATCTCCAACAACACACACACGTAACGGAGAAATTTGAATGATCACAGGGTATGTTATGGCTCGTGCCGGACACGGGTCTGCGAAAAAAGACACGATGTTTTGAAAGTGTGTAACGTTCCGTCGACAAGCAGCGCCGTACGTAGCGTTGTTAAAAAGTCACTACGAAATAATGCCGGCTCACAATAAAAGGACGAACAGCAACAGCTAAGGACACTGTCTGCTGTGTCCACCGAGGACACTTGCTATTTTTGTCGGCAACACTCCTCCCGCGTTCCACAGACCGCGGACAATGTGCGAGCTTCTCCTATCGATTTTGCGCGAAACAGTGGAAAAATGAAGTACAGCTAGCGAATCCAAAGACACTGAAAAATATTTCTTTGACGAATTTCAGAACAGAAACTCTTCCAATTCAGGTTTCTTGCGAGAGCTATCTTCGCTAGTCGATTCTCTCGATATGGGTGTTGGAAAAATGTTATTGGCACCTGTAAAAGGGGCGTACCTCGAGCCACTCTGTTTCCTTCAGACAGATAATGGATCTTCTTGCTCCTCAGATATAAAATTTAGCTTGTGTTTTTTATTCAAATCGTTAAATTTTTCCATAGAATTAACCTAGAGCCTAGTTATTTAGACTCTCGTTGACAGCGGCACGATAGCACACGAGAAGACTATCGTCGTACACAGCACAGACTTCACACTAGCACCATCAACAATTCGTTGGTTTTACACAATCTTTATTCTCTATTTCTCACACGAAGCGACCGAGAATCACGATTATATGTATTAATGCACAGAAATCCTCAAATATGTAACATTGTCAGCACGAAACATTGTCATTTCGCACGAACATCAAGTCCACGGCACGTTCGCCGTCCATCGTGAAAACGATCATCGATTTGAAACGAGATTATCGTCAAGCGATATATCGAAATATGGCGTTCGAGAGTTTAGTCGCCATATTTCTCCCGGTCGAGTCAATTGTGCGCAACGAGACTGTACAAAGAACGTGGCTTTATTTTTCTTTTTTTATTTCAAAATGATATTCGCGGCTTATTTTCGTACATAGTTGATAATTAACGTATAATTGACTTAAAATTGAAGTGTTTTCAAAGTGTACATAAATTAAAAGCAAGCTAACTTTGAATATGTTTTAATCGCGGGTGAACGAATTTCATTGGTGTAACACCATTTGAAGAATCTCGTGTCTGTCGAATGAGGAACATTTTACTGACAACTACTTTCCTGTGGATCCAGTTTAAAAATCTTCAACAGTTTCATTCCAAATGTGTGCTATATCTTTTCAACATAGTTATTCAGGTATGACAAACATTTGTACGTCCTTATGTAGTCCTTTTGCAAACTGGAATGAATATCGCAGTCGAAGTATATTTCAGTTTGCATATAAAGTAGTTAATATTGTACACTGAGCTATGAACATGATTTCTAAATTATAATAATTCTTTTTATGTATAATATATAATCCTGATAATTATATTTAAAATGTAACTTTCATTGAAAATGAATTATCGTGTCACGTGCATATGATGCCATCTTGTGGTAGCAAATTTAACTACGTAAGATTGGAATATAAATTCAAGGACTGATTGGTATGCAAATGAAATACAACTGAATATATAGATTATTTAACAGTTCTACTAATAAACAGTGCAATTAGTTATCCTGCATGAAACAAGTTTATTCATTTGTAGTTTTTGTATCTTGAAAAGTGTTACATATTTATTTCATTCCTTTCTAAGTTCCTCGAATGCATTTAGTTACATGTTATAAAAAGCATTCATTTTTTTTTTTAACTTAACCTGCCTTAGAATTTTTATATCATTCAGTTCCAATTCCAGAAATAATTTTTTACGTTATCAGAAATCATTTTTGAAATAGCATTATTATATTATTTTTAAAAAATTATTATTTAATTATGCATGTTAAGAAACATTAAAATAAGTAAGTGTATCGTACACATTATATATAGTATGTATTATAGAACGTATTTACAACGATATATTTACATTGTCATTACAAAAGTTGTGTTAATAATACCACAGACTATATATTCATCGATTTATTTGACCGCATACGAACATTCACGCACCCACCAGCTAAAATAAACTATGCATCATTCTCATTCACACGATTTAAACGCTCGTTAAACGCCTTTGAGAACGCAAACGCGTGACACATTTCACGATTAACAGCAGAAAAATAATTTAAATTTTAATCTCACACGTCGATTTAAGTGACTATTAATTCTCGTATCACCTTACGAGCTTATAAAAAATAGAAATCTATACAAAAGAAAACAGAGATAGAGATAGAGAAAAATCTGTACGACTACGTTCAACAAAATTTTTTATAATTAATAATAAGTTCTCATTCTATTGCACGTAACGTTTTTTGCTCCGATTTAAAAATACATATATATATATATATATATATTTGATTCCCTTTCGCATGGTAATCACGACACTATAAAATCGTGTTAAAGAAAACTTTCTACTTTCTACGCACACATATATAAATTACATTTACTACGCTCTACATATATACATATACATAGAAAGTAGAATCGTACATGTGTGTGTATGTACAATATGGTACCCATATCTATTGCCATTAGAATATTCTTGAAAATATGAAAATTAATCACAACAGACATTTGACCATTTTAATAGAATACTTCATATGATAATAATTGGTACTTTGTCAACGAGGGATTTCTGACGGAGAATTATCTTAGTTCTTGATGATTTTGCGGAATCATTAGTTAACACCTTATCTACAATTCGCAAATTTTATTACTGGGTATTCCTGAAAGTTTTTATAGCTCTCACCGTACTTGATTTGAATATTACCTATTTTAAATATTTTAAGATATTAATTCGTTTCTAGTCGATAAGGTGTTAATTGGAAGAATCAATTTATTTCATTTTTTTTTTTTTTTTTTTTTTTTTCTTAAGAAATATCGTCTTCTATCTTCGTTTTATCTTATGAAACAGCCCTCTGTATGTACACGTATGAATTTGTTACGAGTATTACATACAATCTTCCTCTTCGTTTGATCAGACGCTTATTCACTCGCAAATATAAATAAAATAAGTCTAATTTACAAGAAATTGATTTTCTTCTTTATACCGGCTTACATAGATACCATTGACGAGCAGAAACCACAGGGCGCTTGTGTGTTTCTGGAGTAAAAAATGTAAAACAAGTGAAAACTTGTTGAGAATTCATTGTCTCTCAGACTATGATATAATCGAATGGGGGTTCGAGTCATTAAATTAATATCACTAAGTAATTAATATTATCCGATTGAACGTTTGGACGTTAGATGAGATATTAAAAAAGATGAGAGTAGGGAAGAAAGAAAAGTATTGGAGTATCAATTAGTGACTCCAATTGTTACGCATATACAAAATTGCGGTGGTGCTCGTTATACTAGTAAGAAAAGGGTGATATCTTGTTCAATATTAAGTCAAAATTATTTTACATACTTTAGGTGATAAAATATATAAACTTTGGTTCTTGAAATTCCAACAACTATTCCGAATTAAATAATTTTTCATGTAAGAATTTCAAAATTATTATAAAGATGGTATGCAGTTGTAAAAAATAACTAATAGTATATTTTTGCTAAGTAGAGTAAATATATTTATTTTTTTAATTATCTGCAAATTTTTGAATATTTCTATAGGGTTCCATGGGTCCCACCATTTTCTCTACATAATAAGATGGCCACCATATTGATTACTTATGAAATTTCCTGAATTTGTACTAATGTAATATCAATTTATACATGTATTTCATAATTCTGATTTATTTTTGCACTTAATATCACCCTTTTCTCCCTTGCATAACGAATTTATCCGCACCTTATACGTATATATTACAAAATATCCACTAAACCACCTGTCGGATCGCACCTCTTTGTCGATCAAAGTTCCCATCTTGAAATCCTTGCGATCGTTAGTACGGAAGCACTTGTTTCGTGAATTACACTATCTACTAGTCGAAATTTGGCACCAGACGACCGATGTTCATTTGCGTCGCATAGATACACCATCGATCAACTTGTTCACTTTTGTTAACACACGAACGTACAGACACTGGAATTTAAGTTCGATCGAGCCGATACGAGTGATTATACTTCAGAAGAGGATTTAAAATGAAAAAAGAAAAACTGAAATAGTTCCAACGTGTTTTTAGACCCTTGAAGCAACTTGAAAAGAATGAAAAAAGAAATACACTCGGTGTTTAAAATTCTTCACAATGATCAAAATTAACAACAATATGGAACAGCTCGAATCGACGTGTGCAAGAAAGATATCTTGTTATCCACTGACAATCCAGCAGGAAGTCTGTACTCCATCAACATCGTGATTCTTCCATCGAATTAATTCCCAAGACTGGAAGAGATTCTTAGTCGACTGATCAATGGCAACCGCAGCTCTTGACGACCATGTTTTTGTACTTCTTGAGTATAACGTTGCTCTCGTCGAGGAAATACAGCACGGAGATCGGCGAGAGTTTGGTCGGGGCGCAGCAAGGTTTTGGCACCTTACCAGGGCTCACCAGGTGCACCAACGTTTGGACGATCGCGTGGTTGGTCGCGTTCATGTGAGCGTTCAGAGGGAAATTGCATTCGCCGCTGCAATAATATGCGTCGTACCCGTCCGGTGCTATGATCCAGTCCTGGCGATAATAAATAATTCATTAATCGTACCTGGAAGTCCTGGGGATTCGTGTCGCGCAACGATCGCATCGAATGCCGAGTGTTATTACACCTGTTGGCGCAACTTACCTGCCACTTCAGGTCCCTGAAACTGACGTACAACGTTTGGATTTTACAGGTCCTAGAGTTGTACTGCACACCAGGATCTGAAAAATATTTCGAAATGTTGCTTAATGTCTACTATACCGGTTCAGTGGAAAATTTGTGTAACTATAATTCAGATACTGAATTAGATCGTTGGCTGTTTGCTAACTGAACAGAAATTTTTATATAAATATAATATTCTAATATTTATACCTATGGTATATGGACCTTGCCATTTTTTTTCTTAATAATTTATAATAATTCCATAAATCACATTCTTATTTTTGCTATTATTAGGTACTAATAATTAGATATTAATTATAAAAAATTAAATATTATTAAGTTACATTGATGGTGTAAGAAATTTGAATAAGTTGTAAAGATGATGTATACGTATTCAAAATCAAGAATCCTTGAATCTCTTGAGAACTCCAACAAACTTAATAATCTTAATACTTTTGAAAGTCCAATATTTTGAAACTGTATTCATCACAGACAGAATGATCGGAAACAGGATGCAGATTAAACTGTTTTCGAATGTAAAAATTCAAAATACGTTGTAAAATCCAGAGACATAACTTCATAGGTGAAATTAGCACAGAACACTAATAAAAAGAGGTAGACATCGTTACATCAGACTTCCTTTCTCTTTGTATTAGCTGCTATTATAACACACTGTTTTTATTCAGAGAACGGAATAATTTAAAGGTTTTATTAACAATCGAGCTCATTAACAAACCGCATACAGGATATTTCAATTTAGAACAAGATTTATTGGGACAAAAAACGACTATAACTTGCAAACAAGATCGTTTAAAACGTTGCTTCTACATATAGCTAGATTTACACGTTTATTACAATTTCATTTCTTGTACACTTCGATAAAATTTCTTTTCATGTCATTGATTTTGATTGGCTTTTTCTTAATTAGCAATGCATTTACTGGTGATAATGCATTTACCTTAGTAAACTTACCGGTGTACGGATTATTCCGATAATCCAAACTGGAGGACTCGCTTTTCTTTCTTCTCCTAGCATCTCGTTTCTGTCGTACTTTCGTCTCCCTGATGCCAGAACTTTTAAAATAACCAACCATAAATGGTTGTTTGTCAGGATCACCTCGAAATCCAACGATTCCGATGTCTTCTGGTCTCATTTCATGCACTGAAACAAATATAAAGAAACTTCATTTTCTGTTCCCTTATACATTCTATATAACTCGATTTTTCTTTGCCTTGATATAAATTACTTTGTAAGAATTAAATTACTGGAAATTGCTAAAATTAGCGCCTCTTCGTTAGTAAAAGGCGCCTTCATTGCAAGTTATATTTCAGCACCGCCATAAAACATAATTTATAAATTAAAATAAAATTAATTTTGATTTTTTTCTTATTGAATTCAGGGAATGTTTGGGAAGAATTATATTTAAAAGTTCCGCTTTAGGTACGATACAAAATTAACACAATTTGATTTTATTACTATGGAAGAAGAATATTTTGAATAAAATTTTCAATAAGATATGGTATCAGATAGATATCAAGATTGAATGGAAAGGCTAGAAATGGAAGATCTTGTTACATATTATTGGTAGAGAAACGTTAATTTGGTGATTCCTAATCACTGGTTCGATGCTGTAAGTGGAATGTATGGGAACGATTACATTCGCTCACGTGTTTATTAGAATGGAGTACCTGTTGGAATTATTAATAGCCAACCTTCAGGAGTATTAACTATTTAAGAATCTCAACGCCTTATGTCAAGCTGTTCGATATCTATCGAGCCGTTCACTTTGCCGATATAGACGACAGTTCATGGTTTCCCAACGCGTTGGCCCTGCAATTAAGTCAACCGCTACCACTGTGGCACGTTTAATTAATTGATCATTCCGTCAGCTGACTGGCACGCTGATCCATCGATTATTCTCAATTATCTGTACGCGGCATGCATAAACAAACGTTTGACAAAAATTTCATGGACCTCGTAAAGTAGATCGAATGTTTCGCAATCAACATGCTAAATCTCATAATTAATCTCTTTTTTAACCCTTTCGCTACTACGTCGTGTAGGATAGAATAATCTTCCGACTATTTCCATTGCATATCTACTATTTTGAAATACATAGTTGTGGCTCTAAAATGGTTAAAAATAGAAAAAAAAATAATTAGGCAAAATTAAATGGTGTCAAATGGAGCGTCACGTGATGCATATGTCCGCTCCGGAAGTGACGGCGTTCCAAAGATTTCAAGGTCAATTTCTTATTTGTTACATATAATTGTCTATTTTTTTAAACACTGGATGAATCTTGATATTCTCTATAAAAAGTACTTGGGTCGAAAATTAATTAATTCAGAAGAAATTTTATTGGAATCATGTACTTTTTTATGCATCTATCGAAGCGTTTTTCTATTTCCTATGAAAAAATATTAGGGCAATTATGTTGAAAATTAATTACTTAAAAAGATATTTTAGGAAGAAACCGTAGGTCTCTCTCTGATGAAGTTATTACACTTGTTTATTTGTAATCGTTAGATACCTGGTTCAATATTCATGCGGTAATAATTACGTTTCCTAACAGTTTTAAGCACGATAAAAATAGAGTCGGTTTACATATATTTGCATGAAGTGTCGCAAGCTGTTCTGCACACTGGTAATCTGTCCGATATTAATGTCAAGAATATTACTGCAAGTGAAACTACGACAGTGTATCAGAACACCTGGTAAACAAGAATTCTATTTGTGGCAGAAAATTTGTACCCTTGTACATACATAACAATGTGTTTATCAGATATTTATAAAATTTTATGACACTTATCAAAGTGTTAATTATAATAAGAAGAGATCTTTGCCGTTTTTCCTATTTTTATTAAACAATCTTGGATGCGAGTGGCTTTACCAATAAGACATTTACAATTAAAGGGTTGCAAGTGACATTTTCTGAAATTTTCAAATTAAGAACAGAAATGGTTATCATTGATTATAATAATATTGTAAATAAAAATATCACTTGCATTCCTCTGGTTTTAAGTGGTTGCAATTAAAAAGGACCAACGTTTTGGTCCCTAATAAAACTTCTCGTCGAGATTTTTTTTTAGAAATGTAAAATAGAAAATTATTCATTTAAATTGGAGATTTGTTATAGTACATTGAAGTTATACGGGTGTATGTAGGATTAATTAATCTGTCAAGCAGTAGTCGCTAAATGGGGACATATTTTTACGAAGCAATTTATCAAACATTTATTAGACAAGTTCGCGTTACAAACGGCACGTTATTCCGGCCAATGATTTATTTAATAAGTTCTAGTTAAAACAGAACAGTTTCGCTTTATAAATAGAGAGAACCTTGCGTGTTCGATACCTGTGGCTCTTATTTTTTCATTCTGAGCAACATTCTAAATTGAGCCGTTCGCGTGACAGATTATTATCAATGTTATTTAAGACGAAATCACGGAAAATCTCGGTTTACGGTGATTCTGTGAGAATAACGAGTATCTAACGAGTAGATACTTGTTCTGATTTAATCAGAACAAAATTAATGAAATTTTATTAATATGCAAAAAATAATTAAAATCTAAGGGAAACACTTAGGGTGATTTTTTAATTAGAATCAAAATTTTTACGAAATTATCTGGGACATTCCCAAAAGATTAAAAAATAAAATGAAATAAAAATGAAATTTCTGGGACCATTATTTCGTTTGAGATAACTTAATCTCCGAATTCCATCTTGTAAATTTTAAGTTAAAGAATACCTACTGAATTCTAACGGTTTTACTTTTTGACGAGTCGTTCAACCGGAATTGTGTTCACCATTTGAACGTATGAATTGCTGAGAGTCAATTTTGGAACACCATGTCGCATTACATTTTTAATATTTCAAAAAAATCAAATAACAATATTACCAGGCATTAAAGAATGCTTAAATTACAATTTTGAAAAACCGCTACGAGCTCCATAAGCCGAAGAAATTGTTAATATTTACGTTGTAACAAGCCGTATGCGAATACAGTCAGTATTAACTTCGTTTCATTTACTTAATCTGTAAAATGTACACGTGCCAAGCAAATTATCTGTTTGTTTCCCGCGCATTCCATCGAGTCCTCCGATGCCTCGCATGAGCTATGGGAAACGCATGAAAACAATGTCTATAAGGTGTCCTAAAAATAAACAACAATGTTAACACATTGACAGTTGTCGCGTATCCATCACTTCAGTATGCGAATTTTTATATTATTATTCTTTAGATTATTACTGTAGAATGTACAAACTATACTTGAAGGAGGTATAAAATCAAAAGCTATGAAATATAAATTTTAAATAGAAAAAGTAATATCAAACAACGAGGATAGCAGATCTTATAAAATATGCAATGGTCAAAGTACAGAATATAAAGAACACCTAAATTTTGAATAGAAACCTGAGCTAAAATTTTAGCGAACCGAAAGTGAACGTGTTGAAACAATAACATTTATATCTCAATTAGAAGCACAAGACGAATTATCTTGTCATAAGAATTTCAATAAATCTACCCAATTGTGTCGAATATCATTTTCAACAACTTTGTAAGATCTTGCACAAGAATAGACCTTCCATAAATAACTTTGTTACATTCCAATAATACCCAGCTCCGCGTGGCTGTTTGCAAGAGCCTATAAAAAAATCAAGGCGTAGAGGATACGTTCGACGAAAATCAATTTGTATGCGACTCGCGTATATTTCCCGGCGATATAGAAATTCGAACGAGGAGGACACGGTTGTACGTGCGAGCAATTCGAACGGTCTGATTGAACGAGTGGAGGACTCGGACTCGTCTTAGCTGGCCAAAGTATTGCCGCGTATGCAAACGATCCTTCTTATACGATCACGAGCGTGCCGTGTTCGAGAAAGCTAGTAAATTGGCTGGCTGGAATGCGCATTCGCCGTGATTGCTGGGCTGGACACCTGCTGCCGCACTTTGCGCGCCGTTACAGAATCAACTGGCGGGGAACTTGTCGACCAGGTAGCTCCTCGGGGCGAATGCACGTGGGGAATTCAATTGAATTATACCGTGTTTTCCTCGTACGGGCACACCATCTTCTCTACTATGGTACAGACGAAACGTACCACCTGATACGATCGCCTTAGAAAAATCATATACCACTTTCCCTTAAAATGTTAAAAATTTGGAAAATTTATACGAAAGAGAAGAGCGATATTAACTCTTCTATAATTAAAGTTATCTAAGCACTATGCATCTATAAAAATAAATCTTCGTTGAAAACAAAAGGGAACGAATTACAAGTTGATTCGTCGAGTTTGCAGATCGTTCGCGCGAAAAGCCTGAGAACAGCTCGTTCGTGAGCAAATAAATGTTTCGCGTTTAGAAGGATCGTTGGGGATGGATAACTGGAGGCTGCGGTTAGCAAAGATTCAAGAATACCAGCCTCGGTTTCTCTCTTCTTCCGGTGATCTTTCCTCGGGTCGAGATAGATGATTTTATGCGTCGTTTCAGAGAAATGTCCAGGATCCTCGTTTTATTGGACAATCAAGATATTGAGAGAGAAAGAGATTGTGACTCTAGAAAACTCTGTTAGATGGTGGATTATGATAACAGCATTTTACTCGTTAATTTAACAATAATGAAGTCACTATTCAGGCACTAATCCATTGTTACTATAGTTTTCTGTAATATTCCAAAATATAACCTTCTTTTAATTTTCATTCGTTTGCAATGACAAGGTAATTAATAAGAACTCGTAACCGAAAGATATCTTCGAAATGGACCTAAATACCGAGAACAGAATTTTAGCAAAGATTCAGGAACTCTTGCGATGAATTGTGGAGGTTTTTCTGAAAATTCCTAGCGATTGATGCATCGCGATAATGGCGATAAATCTGGAGGAATCTGACAAAGGCTCGTTCTCGTTCGCGGTGATAGCGAGGTGTCGCAAGTCTCAAGAGCGAGTGAGCGAGCTGGCAGTTAGACACGCGTGGGCGTATCGCGCGGAGGTGTGTAGCCGGTCTTTAGAAGCAGAGAGATAGCCGGCTGTACTTTCGAAAGCATCTGGTTTTCTGCAACCGGAGGAAACTTCCTCTGGCTGAGGCGGACGGAGAGGAGTCGCGTGACGACGAGAACCAGTGCAAACAAACTCTTATGGGACTACATACGCTGCCCTCCATAACTATTAGGACACTTGCAATTTTCCTTCGTTACGTAACAATTTGCTTGAATCACTATATTTTTATATTACATTACCGGTATTTTCTTTTGCACCATCCGACGACTAAATTGAAGCTCTGTCAATGATATTAAAAAAAAAAAAAAAACAACTTTTTGCTACGTTTCAACGATGTTCCTTTAACTACACCACCGACTTTCCACTTACGCGGCTGTAAATGTTAAAAGTCACGGAAAACTGTAGATTGGGAAGTCGGTACTTTCTTCTCTAGTACCGTTTCTCGACCGTACGCTCTTGTACACACAGAGTACAAACATCAAATACTTAGCACCTAAAAACTAGCTCCAAAGACACATTTCGATCGGCTGAAAAAAACTTCACCTTCGGTCAACATCTTTCCTCGAGTGCTACTTAAAAAGTACAAATCATGCCGTTGTGTGCCAGGCAAGAGAACCGGAGGACGAATCAGACGTGAACGTTTCTTGGACACTAGTGGACACTATGGTGAGAATCGCTTTTAGCATAAGCTCTCGATAGCTTCTGCAACAAGTTTTACTCTCGAGTGGAGGATCATTAGCGTGATTGGTATTTAGATCTTGGTTAGATCAAATTGAAGTTGGAGTCTTCCTAAGCTCCTAATCGTCTTTCATTGATAATGCTTATTCGTAATTATGGAAGAATGGCGCGTGTCCAGCTTGTAATCCTTGTATCCTGCGGTACTGGCAAGGAGGTTGGCACAAACGACATCGTGGATATAAACGAGGCGCGTTTCAGCTGTGGAACGAGGCATTGGGACGAACGTGTGTATATTCGATGGATGTTGTAACGTGCAAGTGTGCGTTCGTACAGTTTGTTGTTTGCCGCGCCTAGATCATTTTGTTGCTTGCCTCTCTCATCTCGTGTTCTCCTCTTGCTCACCGGTTTCTCTCATTCCCCTCTCTGACGCTTCTCCTCTCGCTTTTCTCTCTCTCTCTCTCTTGCTTTTTCTCTCGCTTCTACTCCTCTCCTTTGCCAGCACAACCGGTTTACCTTTGATCATTCAATATAAAACACAAGATCGAAGAGGCACACCTTTGCCTACCTGTATATACGTACAGGGGTATCTGTTGCACACGTACCTTACGAATCCACGATTCCGATCCACGGTAATTTCTACTTATCTTTATCTATCCCACGGTTCTTTCTCCTTCTCTCTACCTTCGTCTTGTCTCGTCGTGTCGATCCCTGTTTTCCTCTCGCTCTTTTCCCTCCAGGCGCGTCCCTCTTGCGACACGCATTCGCACGCATACTCGGTTATCCTTCTGTTCATCTTTTTTTTTTTTCTTTCGAAGGGTAGGAAAATCAAAATGTTCGATATTTGCAAGATTTAACCCTCTCCGAAGCCTACCGCTTTTAGCGTTTCACGTTTGTGTCGCGATTGAGTATCACCTCGTCAAGGATTAAAATCTTCCTCCCAATAGTTGCAATTAGTAATAGATGAAACTTGTCCATCTCGTGCATCAATGGTCACCACACAAGTTGGTCCAGATCCAGCAGAATGATCAGTCATACCTCGAAGATATCGTGGAACACGTGTTCACGAAGAATATTAGTCCCGTGGTCGGCTGTTTTTCGTACGTTATCCCGATGAGATTTAATCGGTCGAAGCTACCACATTCTCTGGCTGGTTTCGTGAACGGTCCAGCGGGAACCTCGGTGGAAGGAAACGAAAATCATCAATGATCTAAAGCTCATCTGGTTCAGGGACTGGCTAACAGGTGTAGCTTATCTGGAGGATCGAATCTACGGTAATCTTGCCTCGCGACGATTCTCATCTGAGATTCGGTGGCAGAATTGGATTCAGGGGCGTCCTTATCTCACCATCTGGGCCTTTGCTCATCCTCTCTTTCTCTCTTTCACTCCTGGCATTCATCTGGCTGTCTACCTTGCTCTTTTCCTCTCCAGTTGAATCCCACGCACGCACATCTCGCCAGTAGAGGAAGACAAGACGACGCCAGAAACTTGGCCTCTCGTCGATCATGTATTCCTGTCTGGTAGGAAGGACCTCGTGCCACGCACAAAACTTTGAACAACGTCCCTCATCCTGATTCTCTTTTTTTATATTCAATTTTCATTTGATCTTATCCGAGACTTGAACGAACCACTACAGATACGAATACCTTGTAATATAATTATCAGATTGGCAATTTAATTAGTCTTCTTTGGTCCAAAAAAAAGAAGATTGCCCCTCTTTGCTTTGGATGTTTGGATAAAATACAGGAACAATTGAAATTCTAAGAATTCTTCATTTTGATACGAAGAAGTATTCCAAGGACAATTAATAAACACTCTACGATTTTCTCATATTCTGGTTTTGTAATAAGTAGAGAATAACCGATAACATTCCACGGAAGAAATTGCACGTAAGCATGAATAACGAAGAAGAGAGAAATGGAGCGGAAAGACAAGTGGTACGAAGCCATCGCTAGTTGATCGACCACATACAGTGAAGAGCAAAACTGTAAACGCGTAACTTTAATCTCATAAACAGACGATAATGTTACAATAATTATTACATCAGATGAGTACGAATCCATGATGAATCTAGTATACAAAATATGACACATTATATTCATTTAAATATTAAAGACACCTAATACTCTGCACATTGTTAATATTTTATGCAGCAGATATAATTATCCAATTTAGATGAATTAATTGAAAAAGAAATTTGTAGTATTATTGTTTCTTCGTAAGCTTTTGCTCGTGAAGATACACACAGCGTATATAGGAGCGTGTGGAACGCTTTTCAGCATGGGAGTGAGAGCGTGGAACAGGTGTACGCTCGAGAAAGCATATATACCTGTATAGATATATATTCGCGGAGGCTGCCTTCTCGAAGCCAGGTGTACAAGAAACGACCGGAATTTACCGCGACGAACTTTTGACCCCGAAGCGTTTGTTAACCACGATCTATTGCTCAATGCTAAGCGTGTGCCGTGTGTACACTATCGTTTACAAGCACTTAGACATTTCCTTCGTTCGAAGAGTCGTAATGCAAATGATACCTGTTAATAATTTATGTAACGGCAGGCAAGTGCAAATGAAATCTTCAAAATCATTAACAAGCTGAATGTCGTGACACCGTAAATTAGGTGTACTTAAATAATTTGAAAAATAATAGAAAGATATTATTTTATGCTGGCAGTAAAATACCATGAATAGAGCTTACATGTTGCTTCTTTTTTATTTTAGTATATTTTCAACGAAATGAATTAATTTTGGTTTTACTCACCGGAACGATCAGCAGGATGAACCGACAAGTACAATCCTTTATTTCCATCGGGATTATTAACCCAATGATCCAGAGGTTCGCTGACGTTCAAAGTCAACCATCCCTCTTTTCCTGTTGTCGTGTTAACTGCATCTACGTATTGCAATTCTCTCGTTCTGCAACAAAAAAAATATAATCATGTGAGTTTATAAAAGCATCACATTCGTTACTGTTACTTTATTCCATAATTTTACAATCTCTATAACTGGTTTCATGCTCGCTAGAAACAGAATTTCAATAAATTGTCTGATAACTTAATTATTAAACGATGTTGTTTTGCGCTACTAGTTCGTTTCTATTTTGATTTGGTGAAATCTAAATGAAATAGAATCGAGTTTCTCGAATCCTATTCCAACTCCGATGTTATCTCGTGACAAACAATAAGTTGCAAATGTTGAAACGCATTAGCAGCTAAAAGCCACTTGTGACGACCATTCGATGTCACTAATATCTCTTTGCAATATTCCTTGCATACATCAAGGAAAACTCGCGTTACTCATTACGTTAACACGCAGTTCTATGGATGACTACGGAATATTCATAATGTGGATGTCACAGGATTGATCAAAACAAACACATTATCACCCTTATTATATAGATTTATTTGAATGTAATCGCATGGATATTAGTGCCATTAACATTTGATCAAACTGAATGGATCAAAGTTCACGTGAGTAGTTTCTTTGAACTAACATGTATCATTTGGATTGCTATCTGAAACAAATCTTCATATCTTTTTATTTCATTAACACATTAATTATTATTGAATAACTTAAACAAAAAAAAAGATTTAATTTAATATCTAAAGAGCTAATGAACTTAAAATTTTATTTATGCTATTTTAAATCTAATAAATTCTTAGATTTAAATTACAATTACAAAACATTTTTAATTACAAGTCATAATTGTATTAAGCTAAATCTGTGTATAACTACGTTTATTTATATGTATAGGAATTGTGCCTGATTATATAAATTTTTCTGAATGAAATAACTAAATAAATAATAGAAAGTATAATGTCAGAAACGTGACACAATATTATACGAGAAAGGGTAAACGTTGATTAAGATGTTCGCAGAGTATAGATCAATTATTCGATAAGGAAATCTACGTTAGATGGTTAAAGACACGGTATTGCTTGTTTAATAGAAATCTGCAGCTTCGAATCGCGCAGCTCATCGATAAAATCGATCAATAGGAAACCACTGAATCTTATGTAACCACAAAGATATAGAGAAGCGAGAAAACGAGCCACTCTAATCGTCATCGTTTCTATAGACTGTAACATCGTGACTCGACGATTCGCGCAAATCTATCTGCACGTGGTTCGATTCAATAGGATTTCACTGAAACACACTAATCATTGTTCATTGAGGAAGTATGCTCACCTCTGATCACCGCCCCACCGCGGGAAAAGAGGCATTCCTTAAACGACGCATTTATCTTATTCCCGGGACTGATTATTCTTTCCCGTAATTGAATAATTAGAAACGTTCAAAATGTAAACAAGCCGGATCGTGAGTGCAATTTTTATACTGAAATCCTGCGCAATATTCAACGTATAATTTTGTAAAACATTCTTCAAGCTTGAATCAGAAACGATACGCGTAGTTTCGTGAATAGTTTTTTCTATTTTATTGATTGGCTTGGTATAAAATGCAGATATTTTAAGCGGAATTTAATAGTATTCAACAGAGGAATTGACGAAGTGGTTTGAGTAAACATTAACCTTTAGTTTTCACACGGTGTTAGGTGTATTTGAATTTCAAAACGCAGCTGATTAAACAGCACGTTATTTCCATGGCAAATTGAATATTATTCAATCTGTGATGAATAACGATTGAATTTGTACAGATTTCTGAATGAAGTTATAAACCGAGCTGTGCTAGATTTATTCCAACGAAAAAATTAATTCATTTCCACTTTAACCCTTTGACTAGTCACTGCTGACCAACGCGTCGCGACGTCTCAGATATATGTATATTAACCTTTAGCTGGCAGTGTGGGGTATGATACGACCCCAACTAATTCAGCTTTCTTTACCTTTTTGGCTAAAATTCGTCCCTTCAACTCTTCAAATAAATACTTTTTTTGAAATCACGACTTTTGTACTATTCTTTCCCTTAAAACATTCAATCTGAAGAGTTGGCTAAAATTTTAATTTTTTATACGAAGATTTGAGAAAGTTATAAATTTTTTTCTGAAAACTGCCATTTTTCTGTTTTTCAATTTTATTTTTTCATGCCTAATATTTAATTTAACTAAAATTAGCTATAAAATATGTTAAAACAACTTTCAAAGATTATCCAGGAATTTTTTTAAGTTAAAATAATGAATATGGAATATTTTATTGGCTGGGGTCTTAAACGTCCCGGCGTGCCAGCCATGTTATTCCGGCGAAGCGTGTCAGCTAAGGGTTAATACAAGCAAATTGAATTTAAAAAATGAATTATTTCTGTCTTTAATAACTGGATCTTCAACGAACTTACTCTGCACATTAATTTCCACTGTGACGAACGTGTTAAATATTCAAGTAGATACGAGGAACAGTTCAGCCTAATAAACAGCGGAGCGAGCAGAAAAATTCATGAATCCTTAATTGAGTGTAAAAAGCATGAGACCCTGAGCCTAGTTTAAAAGCAAGGCGTCACTGTCTGACTTTCGTCGAAGAGGAGTCTTGGTCGAGGTCCAGATAGACAGCTGACGCGGTTCTTGTATCCCTACCAAGCCAAGGAGAAGCTGTTTATGGGAAACCTGTGCGCGCACACGTAAGAAACCAGAGAGTCGCCAGCTTGTCTCGGCTGGACCAAGAAGGTGGAGGAGGATCAAGAAGAGGTGGAGGAGGATGCGTCACGGCATCGAGTTTGACGGAAGAAAAGGAGAAGAAGGATATAAAGCGGTGAAGGAAGAGGAGGTGGAGAATGGATGCGTGCGTGTAACTGCGTAGGCACGGCAATGTATAACTCGTGGCTCTTAACTCCTCGCGAGCACGGCCCGTCTCCACGGTTAATTTACCTCAATTTACGGAATAGCGTTTCCTGTCGGGGCCTGTATATCGGTCAGGTCGCGGTACCAAAGTCTACGGAGGTATCGCAGACAGGGATGGCTCTAGACACGGTGTCGCCATCCGCCACATCGTCTTCCTCCAGCCAACACGTGCGTTCAGCTTCCTCCTCTCTTATCAAACTACTAATTTACAGTAGAATTCTTCGAACTCTTACAATTTTTCATCATCAGGACATAATATTTGAATTAAAAAAAAAAGCACAGAATGTTCCTTATCAACCTTGTATCTGAAAATCTGACCAGCTGGACAATGCTAGAAGAAGAAACGATAACGCTTGTAAGATGAAAGAAGAATGCAAGATGGGCGAGAATTGACTAATTTGTATCGTATTAACGGCTCCTTTCCTGCTAGATAAAAATCGATCGGAATATGGCGTAACGTTCGGTTCTTCTAGAAAAAAGAGCCGATGGACGGCCCTGGACATGAATGAGAAAGGTTAGAATCGAGAGAAGAGACCAGTGGGGCTGGTCCTCGAGAATTCTCTCACAGGTAGAACAAATACCTGAGATTTTTTCGGCGACTTAAGGACGGCCTAATTAGAGGCACGATGACGATGTCAAAAACCACGGACTGTTGCCTGAAGGAACACGAAATTGGTCTAGCCACCCACCCAGGGGAGAAACCCGAACGGACGGAGATAGACGGATGAGAAGGAGTACCGTTTTTCCACGATATTCCCCTCCTTTAACCTTCTTTCTGGTCTGCCGTAGCAGTTAAAGGTCACTTCGAAACTATCAGCTACCCTTACTCACCCTGAAATAGCAGCCACGACTGACTGGGCCAGGTAGAAAGCAATACCTGAAACACTTTTCCGGGAACCGGGACCTTACTAATTGCTAACACGACAATGACATTAAGGGGACAGAGTTGCAAACTTCTCGCTGCGAAAGAAAGAAAAAAAGAAAAGATACACGTAATTCGTCAGCTTAAAACTCCTCGTTGTTTTTCGACTCTTCAGGGTCGTTGAGGTAGGAGCAATTAGTCATGGTTGAAGGTGTACTTTCAATACGTTTACTCGTTCACTTGAAACGACGGATTCTTAGAGGCATACCTAACTTTTATTATTTCAATTGAATCGTAGACGATCGGAGTTATCGATGGGTATCGAAAATTCTATTCTGTTAAGACTCACCCGTCCTCGGTCCTTAAGACACGGTAAGCCGTGATCATGTATGACCCACGGTTTCTTCTATTCTTCACATCCATACTGCGATAGAGCCTAAGCTCTGCGCCAATTATGTGTTCCCCAGGTGGTACCTCGGACACGTCAAACCAGAGCCTTTTTCCACGCTCGTGCCTCACTCCAGGAACGTGATGATCTGCAGATCAAAAAATACCGTCTCATTAAGCGGTAAGGGCGAAGGAAAGGGAACGTAACGCAGATTTATGATGGGACTGTCGAACGGCGATTAGCCTCCTCGCCTCCAGTGAATTGTTCTTACTCGACGATGTTATAAAGGGTTTAGTAACCTTTACGGTCTGACTGACGATATTTCAACTGTAGTGTGTATGTTGTAATCTTTTTTCGATGCCTAAACGTTCAATAATTAATTCCAGTCTATTTGAAGAATTTGTAAGGTAAAGGGTTGTAAGGGTTAAACTTTTTTTGCTGTGGATGACGTATACCCTTGGGACAATTATTAAGTTTCACGTAAATCCGAGAGGACTCTAAGTAGATTACGTTTGAATAGATTTCGAAGGGGCAAGTTTTCTTTTTTTAAACAAGTTTAAATACAATAGTACAGAGCTGTAAATCCCAGCCATTGGAAACTTAAATGCGGAAAGTACGAAAGGTGTAGATTACATTGTTTACGGTTGTTCTGAGGGTAATAAAGTGCCATTGTTAGACGCAGCGGTGGTTACATTTATAGCCATTAACTGAAACGAAATTTTCTTCTAATTATCGTTATTCTCTAGTTGCGTATAAAAACATTTCTAATCTTGTAAATTAACAAAAATATTTGAAGCTGTATCAATGTCCCCCTTTTCTTATAAATATAATAGAAACATTTGGATAATGCCATTTAAAAAAGTGAAAATACTTTGATTATTGCCAGGTAGATCATCGTCACTCGTTATCTTTACCCGGAGAATAGAAATTTAGGTAACAGCCATTCGAGAAGGTAAAAGCTCGGTAATCTCTGTAAACTGAGTAACCTGTTCACTTACGATAAATTTCCGACCAGCACTCCAAACTTTCCTTCTCTAATTGTCTACCTAGACGTTTCCTAAATTCCTAAAGAACCATTCCCTTTTTTCTCGAAATTTCGATTTCTAGTTCACCCTCGAAGATAGCGTTAAAACAACTGTTATTCGTATCCGTCCGATTCCTTTTAAAATAAAATAGGATAAAATGGATTGCGATATAAAAAGATTAAATCGTACGGTCAAATACCGTGAATGGTCCAGAATAAAGGAGCTCCTTAGCAAAAAGAATATACCATTCCGAGGTAGCTGTCCAACTTTCAACAAACATCGATCAACCGAAAGTGCCTTGAGAGAGGCTTAACAACGGTAATTCCATCGTTCACGCTAAACAGGCTGCAAATCAATTTTCTCGAAATAACGAAGCTGAAGAGCGAGAGAAAAAGAGAGAGAGGGAGAGAGAGAGAGAGAGAGGCAGGTCGGCTCGTTCCAGTCACATCTTAATCCTAATTCGGTTGCCGATGGATCGACGAAGCTGGAGGGCGGTCTATGGTCAACGGCAGCAGCCTATATAACCGACACCGATAACCAGCTATCCTCGTTCCGGCACGAGATCGATAAGGGAATCGTTACCCTCGTAAATGAGAGGGGCCTCCAGAACGAGCCGTGGACAATTCGCAGCGTGAAATCGTCCTTTTTTCTACCGCCAAAGCCGAGCGCCTTCGAGGATAGGTAAAGGAAGCCAGCAGTAGGTACCCTTCTTCCTCCACGGTGGACCATGGGCCCTTAAGTAATGCCTAATGTTTCTCCTGAGGAGACCGACTTCATGGTGGAGAATGAAAGGTCGGCGTAGAGGGGTAGGGTAGCTAGAACGTGAAGCAAAGCGAAGCAGAGGGGCCGAAAAGAAGAGGAGACGGGGAGAGAGGAAGGCATAAAAATTTGTTTTATTTTTCTCTCGGACGGTCGCATTCCAACGGCACCTGATTGCCGCGAGCCGAGCTGGACCCCTCGGCTCTCGGGGTGGTCCCGAATAGCTTGGGACCATCCTGGACCGCTCCACGACCGACTGGACTTTTGTTTTTTACCCCACCAACATCCTCTTTCTCTACGTCCTCGGTCCTCCTCCGACAGTCCTCTCTTATACACCTACAAATACTCTGTTCCTCTCGTCTCTTCTTCTTCGTCTTCTTCTTCATCGTCTTCTTCTTCTTCTTCTTCTCTGTTCACCTTCATCGTCGAGGAACGTGCACACGCGAGAACTTGGAAAGAGAAAGAGGGAATCAACCACGAGGCCCTTCTTTTCTCGTTGAACGGTCCCAGCTCGTTCTTGCGATATTTTCCTGGAAATATTCGTGAGATGTTTCTCGGACATCCACCGTTTCGCGGGCTGATCGACGATGAGTCGATCCAACAACGTTCTCTGTTCGACAACTTTCGGCCATCGCTACGCCGGTATTATTAGTTCGAAGTAAAAGTCGAGGACCAGATGCTTCTTTTTGGATGATTCGAACAGATCGAGCGTGGGAATATGTACCCGGTCCAACTTCCATCACTGCTGGCTATTTCGTTCTTCGTTAACGTGTACTTTGCTGGATTTTCAAATGTTTAATGTTTCGATCTAAAATTCAAGTTTCAGAAACGAAATAATAATTTACTAATAATATTTCTATTCTTCGGTATTTCATAATAAACTCTTCTGCTATTTGTTCAAAATCTGATTATTTAATTCTCATGATAGAGTAGTACGGATGAATGTATCCACTTAATGAAAATCCTCTCTATGATCCAACGACGAGTATTATGCGTCGAGTAATAATCATTTCGTTTCAGTATCCATTATATACACCCGTGGAAGGGTTAAAGTTCCTAACGAACAAACGAAAGCAAAGAGGAAGCAACACTGAACCATCATCGCACACGTCAGGTCTAATCATTAGTCTAACTACATAGGAGGCATAGGGAACCGTGTTCGCGGCATTCGCCACTTTTACAGAGAGCAGAAGGAACAGAAAACGATCCATCTATCTCATTCTGGCATGTTGCTCTTCTTCCCGGCCCGGTACTCCTTCTGTTCCTGTTGTCTGGTCGGTGAAGGAGCCGCCCTCGGCGGAAGATAGATAGATAGATAGGGAGAGGAAGGAGGTCCTGGGAAGAAAGGGAGCAAAAGGAGCAGCCAGGACGAGCCAGGGCACCCAAGTTGAGACATTTTTACCTGCCCGCGGCTTCACGTGGGGAGAGATATTGACTCGTCTTCCACGTTCGGCTATCCACTACGATTTAGAGGAACAGAGATGGCGGATGGGGGAAACTTTGTATAATATATGGGCCGTGCCGAGAGTCCTGCACACGTACGTGTGACCACACGCCCGCAAAATTCGTCCAGATGCACGTATCGAAAGGATTGGCCCCCGGGCGAGCCATAAATCGGACCATACTTTTTAGCGGTGTACGCGAACCCTCCTGACAAATGGAAAGATCATGACGACTAATTATGCGAGCAATTAATATTTCCGGCCAGCTGTTCTAATCCCTCGCTTCACTCGGCTAATAGAAATTGTCATAGCTCCCAAGATTAAAATTAAAATACTGACTAATCTGTCTTGAAATTAAATTTCAAGAGTAATCAAAATTTTCAAAGATGGTAATTTATTTTTGCCACAAATTTGGTAATTAAAATTATCAAAAAAAGTAAATTCCTTTCAAATATTCATTTTCTACTAGGCCCGAATCACTTTTAACTTATCTCTCTTTTATAGATACTACCTAATAGTGATCGTGGAAATCGAGCAAAGGGTAAACAGTGCTTTTTCTTTTCTATAGAGACAGGTGTTAAGAAAGGTGATTGAATGATTTATGGTAATATTTATGCTAAACTTAGTTAACCAGGAGATGATGTTTCTACTTTGGTCCGGCTGTCAGTGAATTAGCATTTAAAGTATCTCTCGTTCACGTCGGAAACGCGTCTCACAGAGGCGTGTAAAAAGGTCAAGAACAAACAACCTTTAAAAACGAAGGCAATAAGTTTTTCTCTAAATATCGATGACTTTGTCATCGAGAAGGTTGCAGATTTATTCCGAGTTCTCGAAGGACGAGCAGCCGAAAATTCAGACTCGTTATCAGAAGGAATTAATTCATCCAACATTTTTATAACTCTTTTAAAAAAGAGATTTTTTTACTCTTAACTCTTAACTCTTCACTCTTAACAAAAAGAATATAGAAATCGGCTCCTACTTAGATAGCCATTACCTGTACAAGGGTTAATCAAAGGGTTAAGGAGCGTTTTAACAGTCCTGATTTCTAAGACATCCCGAAATCTAACCCAATTAAATTAAATTAAAATGAGCATTAAATTGATTTTTCTTTAAACGATTCTTATTTGATTGACGAACAATGATACGCGAGCAGAGAACAATGGTGAGAAGAAGTTGTAAATCGCGAAGAAAGCCGAAAGAGCAAAGGATTAAAAGGGGGTGAGCAATGGCAATCAATTAAGACTCGTCGAGCGTCGTATAACGTAATAACGCGATTTAATTTATGCCGGTTTTTATCGGACGCCCGGAGTTCCCAGTACTGGGCTGGGTACACATGTCGAATAAGTTATGGTTATGGGTATCAATTTATATGCATGCCGCATATCGCGTCGAACAGCCTAGAACGTTTCTCACCGCGAGCCACGGTATGAGACGTCCCCGAGATAAAGCAGGAGGGACAGATAAGCGTAAAAGAGAAAGACGGACCAACAACTTTCCGAGAAACGTTCGACCGTGCTTCTTCTGCCACCCTCGCGAACGATACGACTCCTTGTAAAACGATGGAAACCGATTTCTCTCGCGTTCGAACCCGCTGCTGGTCATTTTTGGCCCGCCAGACATACAGTCACCCTTTTAGAGAAGGAATTCACGATTCTTCAGGGTTAATCGACTTTTCGACGCAATTCCCGAGATTCCACTTGATTTTTCAACGTTTCATGTTTCTAGAAGGTTTAGAAATCGGTAACGGAAAGATTGGTAATTTTAGCAATTATTATTTTCAGGGTCATTGTGCTATTTTTAGTGCTAATGATTAGACTGCAAATATTTTCTTCTAAAAAGAGGCTGGAATGCATTGTTTAATTTTGTAAATTTTACATATTTTGCATCTTTCAAGTATTTCATTTATTGAACGCTACTATCTA